CCAACAGCCTCTCCTCCTCTGCCAATCCTTTTCTTTTCTTGCCCCCTCCTCCATCTCTCCCTCCCATCCCCTTCCCCTCTCCCCTTCTTCCCATCACGACCTCCCCCTTCTCTCCTCCTCTCCCCACCCCTCCTTCCCTCTCCCATACGCTCCATCCCCCCCTCCCTCCTCATATCCATCTCTACGCATTCCTTCCATCCGCCAGCTACCCCACTCCCTCCCCTCCCCCCTCACCCACCTCATTCCCTCCTCCCCCCATCTCCCCTCCCCCCATCCCGCCCCCCTCGCTCCTCCTCCATAACCTTTCCTCTCCTTTCCCACCCCTTCCCTCTCCTTCTCCTCCCCCTCCTCCTCCCTTCCACCCTAACCGCTCCCTCTCTCCCCCACCCGACCTCCCCCGCCTCCCTTCCTTCCCCTAACCTCTCCCTCTCTCCCACCCCGACCTTCTCCTCCCCGCCTCCCTCCACCCCTAACCTCTCCCTCTCCTCTCCCTCTCTTCCCATCCCCGACCTTCTCCTCCCCCACCTCACCCCCCTCTCCCTCCCCCCCCCCCTCCCTCAGCCCCACTCTCGATTATGCTGGAGTTCAAGATGCTGCGATCTCTGGCCTTCTTGAGATGAGGATAACTTGCGCCGGAGGTTGGAGGTGGGATGGGGATAATCTTGTTAATATGTTGTTTTCTCTTATTCGTATTCATGCTTTGCCGTCCCTTATTGCGGCGTTAACATGTTGTTATTATTAAGTTCTATTAGGATGGAAGTTGGAGTGATTCTGATATGTTTGGTGATGTTGTATTTGTTGTATTTTCCGTAATTTTCTTCATTTTCAAAATAGTTTTATTGTTAAGACCTTGTTATTTTCAGTATTTATCTCCTTCTCCTCGATTTTTTTTTCCCACAAATAATCACCTGTACGTCTGTACTATCTATCCATCTATATCTGTCTGTCTGTCTATCTATCTGCTTACCTGCCGATCTGTCTTTCCATCTATGCATTTATATGTCTATTTGTCTATCCTCCTATCTGTCCATCCACCCATCCACCCACTCATCCATCCATCCATCTATGCATCCATCCATCCACCCATCCATGTATCTACTTACCTATCAACGTTACTAGCAATCAGTCTATCTATCCATCTATCCACCTATCTATCTATCTGTATATAACCTCCCTCGCATTACCATATTACATACATTCTTAATTACTTTCACTTCCGCCCATCCCCCCAGCTGATGTGAATTACGGGCTGCACCTAATTACATATTCTATTCATGTTATTAGCATTTTTGGCGTGTGTGTTATTCCGTTTCGTTCTGATGGTGCAATGGAGCGAAAAAAGTGAGTGGCGTCGCGATCATCATTTCTGAAAGTAGATTTTCTTTTTTATCCCTTTTCATTTTTCGTACGCTATTGGATGGAGGTGATGCGGAAGCGAGAAACAGAGAGAGAGAGAGAGAGAGAGAGAGAGAGAGAGAGAGAGAGAGAGAGAGAGAGAGAGAGAGGAGAGAGAGAGAGAGAGAGAGAGAGAGAGAGAGAGAGAGAGAGAGAGAGAGGAAGAAAGAGAGAGAGAGAGAGAGGGGGGGGGGGAGAAAATGAAATAGAATTGAGACGGGAAAGAGAGAGGAAAGAAAAAAAGAAAGGATAGAGATGGAGAGGGGGGAATGTAGAGAGAGAGAGAGAAAGAAAGATAGATAAGATAGAGAGAGAGAGAGAGAGACAGAGAGAGAAAGAAAGATAGATAGAGAGAGAGAGAGAGAGTCAGAGAGAGAAAGATAGACAGACAGAAAGAAAGAGAGAGAGAGACAGAGATAGAAAGAAAGATAGAAAGACAGACAGAGAGAGGCAGAGACAGAGAGAGTAGTACGGAAAGAAACACACAACTAAAAAACGGACAAACAGAAAAGAGCAGAAACAAACAAACGGACAGACAGAGAGAGGAAGACAGACAGACAGACAGACAGACAGATAGACAGGCAGGGAACGAGTGCGAGGCGTCTAGCCCATTAGCACAGGAAATCTAAGTGATTTGGGAGCAAAGAGTGGATAGAAAAAAAAGATAAATGGTGTTAAGCGATAGGTGGTGATGAACGAGTGGAAGTGAAATGAGAACAGGAAAAGGAGGAGATTACAGTTATTGAAAGGTGCGAGAGTGGAACGGAGAGATGGAGGAGAGGGGACGAGGGGAGAAGGGTGGGGGAGGGAGGGGAAGAGGAAGTGGGGTTGGGGCATGACATTATTAGGGGAAAGGGGAGAGAAAGGGGAGGGAATGATGAGAGGAAGGGGAAGGAAAGGGGAAGAGAAAGAGAAGCGAAAATGGGGAAGGAGGAATGGGGAGAGGGGAGGTGGGATTGAAGAATAGGATAGGAAGGGAGAGAGGAAATGGGGAAGGGAATGGCGGTTGATCGACAGAGCGAGGGGACTGTAGATAAAAAAGAAAAATAAATAAAAAAAAACGATAGGGAGGAAAGGGAAGAATAAATACGGCAAAGGGAGAGAGAGAGAGGGAGAAGCAGGGGAGAGAGAGGCGCAGCGGGAGGGGAGGGGGCGGGGGTAGGGGGTGCACTAGGTACATGTTCCCTTAACTGTTAACAATTAGGACTTTAATGTCACAGGCCACTAAGCATGAGATTGGCTCAAATACTCACTCTCCATTCAGCTGCGACACGGGGGATGACCCGGCTTGTTTCTGAATTAAAGGCTAATTTGCATAAAGGAACAGAAGTTAATTATTTCCTCGTCAATCCTCCACGAGCGCAGATACACTCACGCACATACGAGCGCACACGTGTATACGCACACTTACGCACCGCCAACAGACATCAGGAACGCGCACATGTACACGCAGGTGTGTGTGTGTGTGTGTGTTTGTGTGAGTGTGCACATATACATCTATATAAATACACACACACACACACACACACATACATGTGTATGTATATATATATATATATATATATATATATATATATATATATATATATATATATATATATATATATATATATATATATATATATATATATATATATATATTATATATGTATATGTACGTATATATATATATATATATATATATATATATATATATATATATATATATATATATATATATATATATATATATATATATATATATATATATATATATATATATATATATATATATATATATATATATATATATATACATATATAATATATATATATATATATATATATATATATATATATATATATATATACATACATATATATGCACCTGATGAGCTTTGTCCAGTCATTGTACATTTCTATTGTTATTATCTGAAAATAAAAACAATATCCCCACCCCCACCCCACCCCGTCATTCTTCCTGGGTCACTATTATCATCATTTTATCATTTATTAAAAAAAAAGGAGAGAACAAGAATCCCATAATTAAAATGCGTTTGCAGACCCCGCCTTCCCCCTGCGTTCACTTATTCATAATTAACTTATTAAACTGAATTCTATTATCTCTGCTCTAAATAATTCATATTCAACATAAATATAAAATGTTAGATTGGTAGAGACATGGAGAGATAAACTGATATATAGTTGGATGCATTTATTTGTACCTACACAAGAGAGAGAGAGAGAGAGAGAGAGAGAGAGAGAGAGAGAGAGAGAGAGAGAGAGAGAGAGAGAGAGAGAGAGAGAGAGAGAGAGAGAGAGAGAGAGAGAGAGAGAGAAGAGAGAGAGAGAGAGAGAGAGAGAGAGAGAGAGAGAGAGAGAGAGAGAGGGAGAGAGAGAGAGAGAGAGAGAGAGAGAGAGAAAGAGTGAGAGTGAGTGTGTGTGTGAGAGAGAAAGAGAAAGGGGGGAGGGAGGAGAGAGAGAGAAGAAAGAATATAAAGAGAGAAAGTAAGAGAAAAAGAAAAAAAAGGCAAGAGAGAATGAAAAACGAAAGAAGGAAAAAAAAGCATGAAAGACTAAAAAAAAACAGAGAAAAAAGAAACAGAGCGACAGAGAGAAAGAGAGGGTAGAAAAGCACACACACAGAGTATCACCGTTCCAGCTCTGCGAATTATGACATTATGTTGCCTCCGTAGCATCCAGCATCCGTCTTGCCAAGGAGAGGTCTTCCGGCAATGGCTCTTAGGCTGAAATTCCGCGAGAAGTTTCTTTGGGTTTGGTAGACACTGGGACGGGCAGGACAGCGCTTGGGCATACATACATATGTACATATATACGTTCACATATATATACAGACAGACAGATGGACATACGTACATACATACATACAAACATACATGCATGCAGACATACATGTACACATACATACAGACAAACAGACGGACATACATACATACATACATACAAACATACAAAGCATACAAACATACAAACATACATTCAGACATATCGACAGACAGACAGACATACGTACATGCATACATATATACACACAGACATACACACATGTATACATACGGACGGTTCCACGTACACACAGACACGCGCGCACCTTCGCCTAAGAGCGCGCACACGAACGAACCGAAATTGCGGACAAACCAGCGAAGAGACAAACAAGCAAACCATCTCCAGCGCAAGAAGGCAAACCACGTACTCAGAAGCGGGTCATGACACCCCCCCCCTCCCTCCTATCTTCCTCCTGCCCACCTCTCTCCCTCCCTCTTCTCTCTCTCTCTCTCTCTCTCTCTCTCTCTCTCTCTCTCTCTCTCTCTCTCTCTCTCTCTCTCTCTCTTCTCTCCTCTCTCTCTCTCTCTCTCTCTCTCTCTCTCTCTCTCTCTCTCTCTCCCTCTCTTCGGCTCCTCATTCCGCACTCCCTATCTTGCCTCTCCTTTCCTTTCTCTTCTTATTCCATCTTTTTTTCTTTTCCTTCCCTCCCTCTTTCTCCCGATCTTCTCTATTTTTACGTGTTCCATCTTCTTTCTCCTCCGTCTACTCTTCAATCCCCTCTTTCTCCTATCCTCCTATTCCTCTCCTTCCTTCCTTCCTACCCTAAACCCCTTCTTCCTCTCTTGCCCTATCCTCCCTCCCTTCCCTTCTACTCTCCATCTCTTTCCTCTTCCCCCATCATCTATCCTTCTCTTCTCCCTATCTTCCCTCTTCTCCCCATCTCCTTATCCCATAATCTTCCTTTTACTCCCCCCCCCCTTCTTCCTCCTTATTTTCCTTACCACCTCCCTTCTCCCCTTGTTTCCTCTCCTCCCTTTACTCTCCTCCCCCTCTTCCCCCTGTCCTCCCTCCCTTCCCCCTGCTTATCATCTCTCGTTTTCCATCTTCCGTCTCTTCACTTTACTCCTCTCCCTCTCTTCTCTCATCCTCCTTCTCCCTTTCCTCTCTCTCCTCCCTTTACTGTTCTCTCCTTCTTTCCCCTATCTTCCCTCCCATCCCCTTTCTTCCCATCTCTCTTCTTCTTCATCTTCTTCCCTTCCTTACCTTTACCCTTTTCCCTCTTACTCCTGTCCTCCTTCTCATCCTCCTTCTCCCCTCCTTCCTCCATCTATTCTTCTTCACCTCTTCCTCCTTATCTTCCTTCCCCCTTCTTCCTCTCCTCCATTTATTCTTCTCCCCTTCTTCCTCTTTATCCTTACTCCCATCCTCCTTCTCCCCTTCTTCCCTCTCCTCCATTTACTCTTTCCCCCTCTTTCCCCTGTCCTCCCTCCCATCCCTCTTCTCCCCCCTCCGTCTCCCCTTTTCAGAGATAAATAAAAGAAGAAACGGCGATGACTGTTTTCTCCATCGATCTCGAGAGGAATGGCAACGTCAACGCCAAAATACCTTCCTGACGGGGAAATGGCACCGGCGCGGGGCACGGTGCCAGCCAGGGTCCGGCAGCCCCTCGGTCTGTGCTGGTTCCTGCTGGCGTTCCGGTTTAGGGTCTTGGTGGGGTCCTCGTGGGGGGGTGGGGTGGGATCCTGGTGGGGATTCCTGTTGTTGTATTCTAGTGGAGTTCCTGTTGGGGATTGCTGTTTGGGGAATTCTAGTTGGGATTCCACACGGGAGTTCCTGGTGAGGGGTTCTGTTGGGGGGTCCTAGTGGGGATTCCTGTTGAGGGGTCGCAGGGGGGTTCTTGTTGTGGTTCCTGTACGGGTGTTTCTGTTGTGAGTTCCTGGTGGGATCCTGCGCGGGGTTCCTGAAGGCGGTTCCTATCGAGGTGTTCCCTTCAAGGATTCATCCGAGTCTCGTTGGCCTTTTCCTAGTATCTTTACGAGGAAAAAAAACAAAACGAACTCGACAGTGAAACGAATAAAAGCGACAAACAAAAAAACGAAAGAAGAATAACCAGAAAGGGAAACAAATAGAACAGTGAGCAAAAAGGCATATATCTCTATCCCCGACGTCGCATCCCCCAAATGAAAGCCAAACACGGGCGAGCGAGACGCGCCGCACACACACGCCAGAGGTCGGTTGCTCCCGCCTCGGCTCCTCGGGGCTGTCCTCCCGCCGCCCGATTGACTATTCATATTAGTGTTCTTCCTTTGATGGCCGACTGGGGCACGGCGGGGACAGGCGTGAACGGATAGGAAGCAGTTCTTTTCTTATTCTTACTCTTCTATTTTTTTCTATTCTTATATTCCTTCGTTTATTTTTGCGCAAAATGATTTAGCTATCTCTCCTTTTCTCTCCTCTGTCTGTCTGTCTATCTATCTGTCTGTCTCTCTCATTCTCTCTTCTCTCTCTCTACCTATCTGTCTGTATATTTATCTATCTATATCTCTCTCTCTTTTCTCTGCCTCTGTCTGTCTGTCTCTCTCTCTCTCTCTCCCTCTCCCTCTCCCTCTCTCTCTCTCTCTCTCTATCTATCTATCTATCTTATCTCTTCTTCTCTCTCTCCCTCCCCCCCTCTCCCTCTCCTCTCTCTCTATCTCTCTCTCTCTGTTCTTTCTCTTATCTCTCCCCTGTTTCTCTCTCTCTGTGTCTGTTTCTCTCTCTCTCTCTGTCTCCCTCTGTCTCTCTCTCTCTCTCTTTCCCTCTCTATCTATCTATCTATCTATCTCTATCTCTTTCTCTCGCCCCCTCTCCCTCTCTTCCTCTCTCTCCTCTCTCTCTCTCTCTCTCTCTCTCTCTCTCTCTCTCTCTCTCTCTCTCTCTCTCTCTCTCTCTCTCTCTCTCTCTCTCTCTCTTCTCTCTCTCTGTGTGTGTTTTCTCTCTCTCTCTCTCACCCTCCCTCTCTCTGTCTCTCTCTTCCCTCCCTCCCTCTCCTCCTCTCTCTCTCTCTCTCTCTCTCTCTCTCTCTCTCTCTCTCTCTCCTCTCTCTCTCTCTCTCTCTCTCTCATCTCTCATTCTCTCTCTCTCTCTCCTCTCTCTCTCTCTCTTCTCTCTCTCTCCCTCTCTCTCTCTCTCTCTCTCTCTCTCTCTCTCTCTCTCTCTCTCTCTCTCTCTCTCTCTCTCTCTCTCTCTCTCTCTCTCTCTCTCTCTCTCTCTCTCTCTCTCTCTCTCTTCTCTCTCTCTCTCTCCTTCTCTCTCTCTCTCTCTCTCTCTCTCTCTCTCTCTCTCTCTCTCTCTCTCTCT